GGGAATCTCCACCACCTTGCTCATCACAGGGGTGCTTACAGCAGCAGTCAGGGCTGGCTTCATGGGCGGGAGACCTGTGACTTGAGTGTACAGGGCCTCATCCTTTGAAGGACCCTACACTTTCTTTACTGCTCTGCTCTCCCCGTTTTAAATTCTTAATAATTTGTGAAGTAGGGACCCACCTTTTCGTTTGGTACTGTCCCTCGGAAATTATGTTGTAATTCCTGGAGCAGTTCATATAGGATCACAAATAGGTCAGAATGACAAGATGGCCAGCAAGCGTGCAGACGTGTGTTGCCGAGAACCACAGAGAAAGTTCTGGAATGTTGAGTCAGCATCCCAGGGGCACCCAGGGGCACCAGGAACCAGCCAAGGCATCTGATAGAGGCGCTCCTGGGATGAATCCGGCATGCCAGTCTAACCCTCCCTGCTTTGACGGCTGCCTAATTTTATCTGTTTTTGCAAATGTGTACAACCCTCCGTTCCTATATTTTTATCTTAGAATAGTTTTACCATGTTCCCAGTTTTATGGATTCCTCCCAGGTCCCATGACAGAGGTAGTTTGAGTTTGCCCTCCTGCCTCTGGGCAAAGGTGGGTTCGTGTGTCCTTCCAGCAATGAGAGAGCTGCTAAAAAGCAAAGAAGGACCAGGGCCAGACCATGCTAACCACACTGACTCAGTCAGTCCCGCAGCAGCAGAATGGACTGTGGAGTCTCACCCAAGTTCAGCGTGGCTGCCTCGACCTCCTGATCTTCAAAGGGAGAGCACAGTAAGAACTGGAAAGGTTATGAACTAACCAAGAAGAAATGCAGAGGCCATTCCCCATCCGCCGCAGCTTAATGCCATTCCCCATCCACCGCAGCTTAATGCCATTCCCCTTGTGTGTGGCAAACCTGAATAAATTGAATTACTGTGTCAGTCCTCCCTGATTTGAAGCTGTTTAATATAGTGCTTGAGAACGGAGGAAATGTGGCAAATCTAGGTCATTTTAAATCTTGAAATTAAATGGCTTTCGTATTAAATCCAAAATACTTAAGAGTGGCAGTCCTGATGATTACCTTGTAGTAGGAAAGAAGCAGCCCTCTTGGTATCACCGCCTGGGAGTGCTTAAAAATGGAAGCAGATATGCCCTTTGCAATTTAATGAATCCAGATGCCTCAGGGGCCCTGGTTTTAGTGAGGATCTCCTCTCTACAGATTCTGGGATTTAACAAGCCTGCTACAATTATGTGCACCTAGGAGAGACCAAAGAGGGAGGAAATATTTGGTTCTGTAGCTCACATTGTGGTGGTTAACAGTTTACAAAGGGCTCTCACAGACAACCTCTTAATCATCAACTTGGAAGGGTGGAGTAGTAGTCCCATTTTGCAAATGAGAAAACAAAGACTTCTACAATGAGTGACTCGCCTTAAGCCCAGAGCTATTAATTAGCCTGGCCAAAATTCCAAGCCCTGCCTCTTGACCCTACCTCCATTGTCCTCTCTGTGATCATAGCTGCAGCTACAACATGGGAATTCTTGAAAATAACCAAACAGTGTGCCCTCACATCTGTTATTTAACTACCTATCGCAAAGTTGGAGGCCTGTTATGCTCCAAAAATGACAGCCTTTATCTTTTTTTTGGGTGGGGGGGGGTTTGGTCAAAATGCTTCCTCATTTAACAAATCTGTGTTAAGCACCTACTACTACGCACTAGGCTATTTGGCATGCAAAGGAAAGTAAAACAGACAGGGTCCCTGCTGTAATGGAGCTTATGTTCTGTTTGGGGAGCTAGACAGAAAGCAAGCAGATAAGATGATAAGGCGGCTCCAAGTAAATAGGACACTGTGGTAGAATGACAGGGAGGGTTATTTTTGATAGGTGACCAGGGGAGAAACAGATCTGATCTAAATTTTGAAAGCTCACTTGGGTGCGAGGAATGGAAAGGGCCAAGCAGGAAAGGGGTTGTCGGAGTCTGCAGTAGACCAGCGTGGCCGAAATGGAGATGATGGGACGGGGCAGGGGCCGAACAAGTTTCCTGGTAAGTCAACAGAAATTGCAGCTGGTATAGAGCTGGGCATGAGAGAGAGGGATGGTCTCAAAGAAGATTCTCAGGTGTCTCACCTGTATGGTTGGGTAGATGGTGGTGGCATTGACTGAGGTGGAGAAGATGAGGGGGAACAAGGTTTGGGAAAAATTAAGAGTCCCACTTGGGAGTGTTAAATTTGAGGTGTCAGCGTGACACCCAAGTGGAAAAATCAGTAAACAGCTGCATGTGTGAGATTGACACTCTGGGCTGGAGAAATTTGGGAGTCAGGGGAACACAAATCCTTGTTAAAATAATGGGGCTGGATGAACATCACCCCCAGAGGACAGTGTTGGTAGAGGAGGGAGCCAGGAACTGAGCCCTGAGGAAACGCCAACACTCACAGGTTTTATAGACAACAAGGAGCCAGCAAAGGAGAAAGAAGAAATGGCCTTTAAGGCAGGAAGAAAGCCAGGGGAGACCTGTCATGACCCAAGTGCGGGAGAACATTTGAAGAGGGAAGCAGTGGCCCATTCTCAGGGTGTTGCCTGTGAAGGGCCCTGAGATGGCTTGGGTCACGTGGAGGAGGTCTGTGAGCTGGGTAAAGGGTTTGATCTGATGCATGGGGACCAGATGTACACGGGAGCAAGTTGAAAAGGAATGAGAAAGTAGGGACTGTGTCAAGAAGTCTCAGTGTCAATAAAGACAGGACAGTGTGTTCTCGTAACGCCTTACGGTGAACTGACCTTGGAGTTGCCTACGCCTCACAGCTGTCTTAGTTATACTCTCACTGCGCACCTCCCATGTGGTGTCTCCATATTCTGTTCTCAAATCGTGGTCGGAAGGTTGATTCTCGAGCCTCTGTCTCTTTAAGACTTGGTGGTCGCAGTGCTGCAAGTGGGTGTGTCCCTTGGAAAAAGAATCCTTGTACCTAGAGGATCAGTGTCCTGGGACAGGAAACGGAGAAGCCGAAGGCTCATGTTTTTCTGACTTTGTCATAAGCTCATCTGCTCTGAATTTATAGCTGATTCGTGTAAAGCCTAATGTTCCCACTGCTTGTCCTGCCAGTAGTTGGTCAGCAGCTGCAGGACTGTCCGACCTGGAAGGAGCTTTGGACACACTCACGGCTCCTGGGCCTCTTCCCCATTGAGGCCTGTCGGGCAGGTTCTTACTCACTAACTCCTCTTTTGCTTCTGCTCTGTAGCTAGTGGTTAAGAGCCCGGGATCTGGGGTCAAACTGCCTGATTCAAGCTCCAGGACAAGGCATTTAACCTTCCTGTGCCTCCACTTCCTCCTCTGAGAAATGGGGACAATAATGCTTAATTATAAGGGTGATTGAGAGGGATTCTGCGCAAGGCTCAGCAAATGGTAGCTATGATTCTAATGGTGTTTTTTGTTTGTCCTGTGGAGGGTGGTTTATTGAAGTAAACCAATCATGCCTCTCATGAGGGCCTGAGGTCATGCGGTTGGCTCCTTCCCCTGGTACACGGTCGATGGCTGGGAGGGAAATAACTGGGCGCTTATTCTTATTTCTAATTCACATAGAATTTAGTGATTCTTTTACTTACAGTTGCTTCCTTTATTTATTTCATGTCAGTTACACTTGCTAAAACATGACGGGCTCACATTCTAACCTGCATTTCCAGCCTGAATCCAGATTAGACGACTACAATATTAGCGATTAATAATTAATAGTGATCATAGTGTGAAATTATGAAAGAGATTTTTCTTCTTTTGTAGCCGTATTGAGCACCTCAAATCCCAGAATGACCTCCTGACCATAACCCTGGAAGAATGCAAAAGCAACGCCGAGAGGATGAGCATGCTGGTGGGCAAATATGAATCCAATGCCACAGCTCTGAGGCTGGCCCTGCAGTACAGGTGGGACATGGAGGGGCGGGGCCGCTTTCAGGTAGAAATGCGTCCATAGTAACCTTCTGCATAAAGCAGAAAGCAAGCTCTTAGGAGACATACTGGGGGGTTGGACCAGCAAGTACTAGTGTGATACATATTGAAAATCAATGAGCACCCTTGTAGCCATTAAGGAAATAAGAGTAATGAGTTTGGTGTTAGTAAACAGTTACGTGTCTACCGGCATATTCAACTTAAATATTATTTCACTCCAGTAACATCACTCAAAATGTCAATCTTTGTATTACATATTCATTTGTTATTCTTTGTAGTATTTATTCATATTCATACATATTTTACATTGTTGTAAATCTAGTGCATTCTATTTGTTCAGCGTGTTACAGATTTGCAGTGTTGCTTAGTAGTCTCCATTTATTGTAAATGGCTGTGTCCCCTGCTTCAAGTTTATATATTGTTATTTTATTTACTCATTTATCTAAAAGATTTTTGCAGACTTTGACACTGAAAATAATTCCGTGGTGAATAATTTAGTGCAGATAATGTCTTCATTCTTTTTAACATTTTCCTCGAGATAAAATCCCTGAAGCAGGAATTATAGGTCAAAGGATAAGAATATTTTCATGGCTCTTCAGGCATGCTGCCAGTTTTTCCCCATAAAAACAAGCCAGTTTAAATAACTATGATGCATTCACTGATGAGTAAGTGGTGTATGAATGCACCACCTTTTTTCAGCCTCATCAGCTTTGGAATTTATCTATTTTCAAGTTACTGCTTTTTTAATAGCTACCAAGCTAGGTCTTATGATTGTTTTCATAGGGTTTTTTTTTAAATTATTAGTATTATTATTATTAGTGTCCTCACTTAGGCATATTTGCCAGGGTCCCAGAGTAGTGACTATATCTTACCCTTGGCATCCTCTAAAAAGTTCAATATTGTTATAAGAAACATTGCTTCTTCAGAAAACAAAAATCAAAGCAAAGTATATAAGACCAAAGCTGGAGAGCCCTCATGCTTGTTTACAGACGCACCAAAGCAAACAGGTAACCCAGTTTCACTAACTCTGGAAGCAGGCTGCTCTGCACCACCGTCTGCCTTTCATCCCCGTGGATGAAGCAGTGTCCCCAAGTCTCTCACCTGAAAGGAGAAGCTGCCAGCCCCCACGGCTCCTCACTGGACCCTTTTTCTATCTCTAATTAAAGGAAGATGGAAGTAAAGGCAATCAAAAAACAGATGGTCTGTTAACTAAATGTTGAGTTCAGCAGCATTTCCCTTACTCAGCTTGGAGAAGTTAATTGGTTATTTGCTTAGGGGGGGATTTTCTCAAGCATCTTGCCCCTGACCACTCAGCCTGTATGCTCACACTCCACCCCATGTGGTCGTGGCTCCATGTGGGTCCACGCAGGTCACCAGTGGCGATGAGAAAGGGGTTACTTTTAGATCCTCTACCTGGTGTGCCCATGATGATGGGCAGAAAAAGGAGAGACTGATGTTTTTTCTTTTAGAAATCCAAACTCTTGTCAGAGATTTTGCAGATCCAAGTCAAAATAATCTCCTTTGTGGTCAAAATAGTCTCCTTTCTGGGGCATAACATTTGTTCCTACTATTGTCTAACTATTATTATGTCACAGTTTTTAGGGTCCAGAATCTGAGAGTGATTTAGCTGGGTGGTTCTGGTTCAGGGTCTCTCGTGAGCCTCTGGGAGCCATCCGCCAGGATTGTGTCAGCTGAAACCTTAGCTGCTTCTGAGGAGGCTCGTTCCCACGGCCGTCTGTGGCGTCCTCGGTCCTTCGCTCGCCGTTGGCTGGACGCCTTGGTTCCTCACCATGTGGGGCTCTCGTAGGGCTGCTCCAGTGTCTTCACAACGTGGCGCTGGCCTCCTCTAGAGATGACTGAGGAGAGAAAGTTCAGGGAAGAGAGAGTGACCAAGATGAAGTCACAGTGTTTTTAATAGTCTAATCTTGAATGTGACGCGCCATCACTTCTGCCATATTCTTGTAGTCACGTAGACCCACCCTGGTACCGTGTGGAAGGGGATAGCACAAGGGTGCGGATTCCAGCATAGGGGCGGTATTACCTTTCCCATTCAGCGGATCATCCAGAGGACGGCAAACTCGCCTCTCCCACACGTATTGTTCCTTTTGTATTTTTCTGGATCCTAGTGTAGAGTTAGAAGGCGGGGGGCACGGCACAGCAGACGTGGCCGGCTCGGCCCCGGGCGTTTCCCCGCCGGCAGGACGGGGCGAGAGGCAGGCCTGGGGCGGTGGGGAGGGTGCGGCGGTGAGGCCGAGCTGAGGCCGCCTGTGCTTCTGTTGCAGCGAGCAGTGCATCGAAGCCTACGAGCTGCTGCTGGCGCTGGCCGAGAGCGAGCAGAGCCTCATCCTGGGGCAGTTCCGGGCGGCCGGCGTGGGGTCCTCCCCGGGTGAGTGTGGCCCGAGCCCCGTCCCTCTTCCTCATTTCATCCCCCTCTTTTGCTCCACTGCCCCCATCTCAGCCGTTGTCACTGGAGCACCTCCTCACAGCGTGAATTCGCTTGTCAAGTGTGCTTTTCATTTTCTCCCTCATGACCGACTGAGTAAACTGTTTAAGTTGAATGCAGCGAGAACTGGAGTAGAAACAGTAAGAGACCAGTTAAAACAAACAGGCCCTCTTAGGAAACATTCTCCCAGGCTGAGGGCGGGACCAGACGGAGCGGGCGGCCCACGTTGGTGATGAAAGGGACGGGCATGGCCGAAGCTTCCCTCTGTGGTGCTGGTGGCTGAGGGCCCCTGGGCCACCCACGTGGCCTTCGCCTCATCTCGCAGCTTCTGTTGGCTGTGCTTTGTCTCCAGGTTTGTTCTTCAGGTAGTTTTGAAGCATGAGTTCTGTCTACCCATCTCCAGGTGTCCTGTGAACACAGAGGGAGTGGCCTCCGGCCCTGCTCTCGTCACCCTCACCGAATGCTAACCCCAAGCCCCGCCTGACGTGCAGAGCAGGTGTCTGCTTACCCCCCTCTCCTCCCCTCCTCGCCCCAGGGGTCACGTGTCCTGTTGGCCTGACTTGTCCCTCCAGAACTGCACTGCCCCCCACTTTTGTCCCTCAATTTGGACTAACTGGAAGGAATATTCATTGAAAAAGATACAAGCGTGGCATCCTAACTACCAACATTGGCTAAAACCTCACCTGATCGTGGCCCTGGCCGTTGCAAGCACGCGAGGAGATCCGCAATAGAAACAGTACATGGGAACCAAGAGAGATCAGGGAAGAAGGGTGGACGTTCAGTGGAGAGGCCTTGGAGCCCACACTTCATAACAGCGGCTTCTTTGGAGAAGTAGCAGCAAGTAAACAGAAAACTGAAGTGACGGCGTCACTCCCGAGCCAGCGATGGGTGGTGTGGGCAGGCCAAGAGTCCCCATTCAAGAGCTGGGAGCCCCATCAGGGCTTGTCCTCCCAGGACACACCTTGCAGCGGTCACCCGGCACCTCCAGAGTGAACACCCCCCCACCCCCGTCCTGCCTGCGTCCTGCCCTTTCCCCCCTTGTGAGGTCTAGATTTGCCCTGAACACCCACATATTTTTCCTCCTTCAGTTTTGACATGCGCAGGAATCTGAAACAAATCTGAAGGAAAGGAAGTATCCTGGGTATTAATTTCCTGCTTCATATCCAAGTTACCCGGCAAGGCAGCAGGCCTCTGTTTGCACAGGAGACCATCCTCCACTCCTCTCTTTGTTGTTGTTTTTTTAACAGCATTACCATCTCAGCCCAGAAGTAGAAACTCTGCCAGCATTTCCATTAGAAACCTCATTTTTTCAGGGCCTTTTAGCTGAGCCATAAAACTTTATTCCTCATATTAAACAGCTCCTAAAACGATCTTGGCCTGCTGTCAATTTTTTAGAAAATATATGTATTAAGAAAGCCGATCAATTAAAGGGAAAAAAATCAGTCATCTTCTTTCAAGTTTGTATCAGAGGAATGTTTTAATCCATTTTGTCCTTGAAAGGTACCTTTTATTAGGCTTGCTTTTACTCATCACGGTTACTTGGTAGGGACTGAAAAATATTTGTGGAAGGAAGAAGGCATGAAGGTTGTCAGAGAAATAGCCCAAGTAGGCCCGGGAACTGTAGCCTTAGGACATGCGTGCCCACGTTTGCTCCCCACTCTCCAGAGTCCCTGTTAAGTCTCACGCGTCCGTCCTGCTGACAGTGGCCGTTGACCTGTCATCCTGCCCTAACACTCCATATAGCTGCTCAGCAAAGCAGTACTAGTGTGTGACATTTCCCCGTAGTGTCAGTTAGTATAGTACGTTCATTCTAGATGATTGAGATGAGTGGTTTTCAAACTGCCCTGGGAAGCTGGAGGAGTTCCTTTGGGCAGGACCCCACCCCTGCCCACTTCAACCAGTTCCACATGGACTATTTTTGTGTCTTGTGCTTTGGCATAAGATTTTGATTGAAAAATATTTGGAAGACCATGGATCTAGGCTGTAGAGATAACAAACTGATAGCTTGTTTGACCGGTAGGGTTTTTAAGACACGACAAGAATGTGAGCATCCTGGGCAGGGAATTCACTGTCTGGTTCTGGGCTGGTGTCGTCCACTCCTGCTCTCTGGCTCCATCCCAGTTATCTGGCTCCTGGTGGCGTTTGAGCTTGCCACTGACCACGGCAAAGCCGAGAGAGGTCCGGGATAGCAAAGGTGCAGAAAATACAGAGCCAACCTGAAGTTCCCACTTTAACCATTAGGCTTGTCACCGTTGCCTACTCAAAGCTCTAACCAGGACCGTAGACTCAGGAGATGTGACAGTTTTCCCTCAGGTCCTCCCTGCCCTCACTGGCAGGGAAGTGCCAGCACAGGGGAAATGGCCCAGCAGTAGACTTGTGACTGGGTGGGAGGAGAAGCCAGGAGCCTGCGTAATTAGAAAATGACAGCATGTCAGAGCTGGAAGCAGACCTCAGAGATCACGGTGGCCACCCCTTCATTTGTTGATGTGGACAGTGGGGCCCAGAGCAGAGGAGATGCTTCCTCAGTCCGGCTCCTGGGTGACGGATTCCTCCCTCCGTCCTCCCCTGCCCGCGTGTCTGAGGGCTGATTCTCCAGACTTGCTCCCCGGCTTGTACCGAGGCCTGTGCTGACTAACCCGTTGGCTTCCCTCAGGAGACCAGTCGGGGGATGAGAGCATCACGCAGATGCTCAAGCGCGCTCACGACTGCCGGAAGACGGCGGAGAACGCGGCCAAGGCCCTGCTCATGAAGCTGGACGGCAGCTGCGGGGGCGCCTTCGCCGTGGCCGGCTGCAGCGTGCAGCCCTGGGAGAGCCTGTCCTCCAACAGCCACACCAGGTAACGCTCGGCCCGTTGGCTGTGAGCCGAACACCTGTCCGCGTGCCGTCTGCTGCCGGGCCCGCGGCCCTCGGGGACTGTGCGGCTCGGGGAGGGCAGCATTCCCCCCTGGCCTCAGCCTGCTCCGGCCAAGGAGGAGGCGGAGAACCGGACTGGGCGAGCCGGAAGGGGCTCGGCGAGCGTGGAAACTGCACCTGGAGAGCGGGGGGACTCGTTCAAAACAGTGACGGGGTGGAGCCCGCACCTGCCTTCCTGTCGGGGCTTTCCCCCGCTTTGCTTCTGTTCGCCATTTCTTTATAGTTCTCGATTTCCTAGATGCATTTGGGGTAGCTGTTGGCTGCAAACGGTCCCTAATCGACCGAGGCCCCGACCACCGCGTCCTGTTTCCAGGCTCCCTCCTCTCCCTTCCTCTTGTGCCCCTGTCCCGTGGGAGCTCTTCTGGGGCAGTGGCGGCCTCTCGCTCCTCTCACCTCCTGTCTCGTGGAGTGATGCCATCCTCATAGCATGTGCTTAGCAGATACTCGATCATGAACCTGAGTCCGCGTCTATGAGTCTAGAAAACTGAAGTGAGTGCTTGAAAAAGATGGGGGGAAGCAGTGAAGACCTGCTAAGCATAATGTGCCGGAGCTTTGGGGTGCTTTTGGATGGGGGTGGGCGGACGGTGTCAGGGAAACTTTTGAATGAAACCTTTCCTAGTGATCTTGTCATTTCTTGCCACCGAAACCCTGAAAACACAAACGCCTTCCCTTTATATACCAGTTTTCAGTCTAGGAAATACTTTGTTAGCTATTCTTATGTGGTAACCAAATCTTAAAAGACAGGAAGGGTAACTTACCCCCATTTTCACAGGTGAGAAAGCCTTAGCTTAGAGACGTGTGAGTGACTTGCCTAAATAAGGTCGCATGGCTGGTAGACAAGAGGGAAATCAAGACTCAAACCAGGACTGCAGCACCAAGCATGTTGTTGTTCTCACTGTACCAGATTGGATCGCATGGCATGAAAACACAGTGTCTACTTGCAGATCGAGTGACCCGAACCACATGAGGCTAGATTGACTCTTGAGCTAAAGGAGAAATACTGATGTTTCCTTGGTGCCTGAAAAGAATTTAATGTTTCCACCTCTCTTTCCCACTGGCAGGACACAGCCATCTGCCCGAGTGTATCCATTTACCTGTCCTAGACCTGGTGCCTCAGGAAACGGGACATTCCTCCCCGTAAGGCACTTGGCCAGGTGCCCACAAACACAAGGGACTTATTTTCTCTCCCCTCCACCAACAGTTGTCTTATTCAGCGAAGCACAGATTATAATTTATATTTTTCTAAAAACCAGATTCTTCTGTCTGAACGCAGAAAGCAGATGCTCTTCTTAATGACTTTTCCAGATGGGTCTAATCTATAATTTCCATGTTCATTTAGAATAGAATGTAGTTCTCGTTTCGTCAGTGATCTTGTTCTGTTAAATTAGTGAGCCTAAGAATTGGCTTGGCAGGAAATGTGTGCTATTTCAGTGGCTTATAAAGTGAATGTTAAACAGATTTTTGCTCACACCTCCCCACCCCAAATATAATTTCATTGTTTTAATCCAAATCGGAGACAGATTTGGAGTCAGTCAGGAGTGGGAACTCTCACTACTCATTTAGTGGAAATTCTGGTTTGGAATATTTGTTAGAAATACTTTAACATGTAGATGAGCCTTGATTTTTGAGGCAGTTTTTATAGAAATACTTAATTTTAGGTAATACACTTCTGTAGGTTGAGATCGATTCAGCACCCAGTCTCTATTTTCAAGGATCACCTCACTGAAGACTGGCCCTTGAACTCATTTCTGTCTCCAGTGGGTCTTCCCATCGAAGTACAGAGGACTTCAGCTCGGACTTCACTCGGTTCTCCTTAAAAGTTCACTTTCACATCCCACCTAAATCAGAGCAGCTCAGGGTAGATGCAAAAGAATCACACACTGGGCTTTCATGTGCACCCTGCATGCTTAGGTCAGGACACAACTGAACTACCTTATGCTGAACAGGGGCTCAGACACCACAACCCTTTCCATAGCTATAGTAATTCATTTTGTTTGTAGATCTTTCCATTCCAGTTTAGACATCCTCCCGTGTCAGGTTTATGGAATGAAGAAAGAAAAGGAGTTACTTGAGTTGGGGCTTTATGTGACTCCATAAATCCCCTTTCCCCTCTCTGTAACCCACTGGCATAGAGAATTCTAATCAGAGTCTCGGTCGGCTGTTCCCCCAGGTCTCAGGAAAGAAATGTTGAGCAAGGGGCCTCCCTAGGCCTTTCTGGCAGCACTCAGACAGCTTCTGATGACAAGAGGGTCATGGTTTTGGAAAGGAGCAGAAGAGTAGTGACCATCAAGGAGACTAAAAAGTGGTAGCTAGCCTATCAGTTAACTGTTGGCAGGAGCCCAGGGACACTGCTATTTCACTCTTGGAAAATACAGCCATGGCCTCATCCAGAAGTGTAATTATCCTAATGGACAGAGTAACTAGGTAATGTTGATGGCCTGGAGAGCTTTATCAACATGATCACAGCAGAGAGACAAATGGGCTAAATTGTTGGAAAAAGGAATTCTTTAACCCACCCTTTTTGTGAAGCATCACCATTTCAGGTCATTTGGTGGAAGCACAGTCGTTGATCTCAATCTACAAGAGGACGTGTGGCTAAGACAGAATCAGCCTCAGCGAGCCTGCCCTCACCGACACTAGAATTGAGTCCCTTTTATCCCCCCGTCAGGTGGGGACCATGGTGAGCCATGTGAGAATGGGGATCACAGCCTATGGGGAGCCCTGGGCACCTCCACCTGGCTGACCATTCACACTGGGCGTGTCCCAGAATTGGGATGAAAGGCAGTGGAGCTTGGGATGCCCAGGCCTCACCCTCTAAGCTCATCTTGATTAAAATGACATTTCATTGGAGAAGAAAGGTTGGGGATACTGGAATCATGCCCATTGAAGGGATGGAAGGGATTAAAACAGCTATGCAGTCAGACGGGCCTGTGCCACCATCAGCAAGCTTCAGGGAGTAAGAGTCGGACCAGATCTGGCCATTGTCATCGTCATCTTTACTTGTCTCTGAAAACACAGGTACTTTCCCCATCCAAGTCTCAGAAGAATTCATGGGAAATCTCGGGATTAATGCTTAGAAGTGTCAGTAAATTCTGAAGTCCAGCTCAGATTCATTCCCGAACGTGGTGCGCAGGCCTCTGCCCAGACACCCTCATCACTTACCTTTTAGGTTTTATGAAAACTAGGTAGAGACCTGAATTGCTTTTTTTCTTTAAGACCTAACTTCCTGATTTCAAAAGAATTAAGTGCTCATTGTAAAAATAAATAATTAAAACCAAGCATTACATAAAACTCCCCCTGCTAGGACCCTCACTGGAAAGGACACTGTGAACAGTTTGGGGTATATTTCCACAGACTGAACTGTACTTTTTTTTTTTTTTTTTTATCCATTAAGACCATTGGTTGCCAGTGACAGGACTCAAATAGCTTGAACAAAAGGGGGTCTTGCTGGAAGGATATCGGGTCTCCCTCACAGCAGCTGCATCCCCAGCTGAGGGCAGAGGGCTCTAAGGAACCTGAGCAGCAGCAGAAAGGCCCTGAGCACAGCCAGACAGCCCACATCCAGCCTGCGGGGCCCCTGCACTCGCTGTCATCTCCCCCACTGCAGGCAGGCACCCCAAAGGACCGAAAGCCAGCACACCGCCTACATTTGTACATGAGGCTGACTGGCTTCACCGGTGTCAAGTGAGAAAATCCTGGGAAGGGACCTTTCACCCAGCTGGCCTTATGTGCCTACCCGTCACCTGTGGTCACTGTAGTTCCCCAGGAGACACATGGATGGAGGAGAGAAGGGGTGCACTCGGCAGACCAAAACATGGCATCTTTAAAAACATGACCTAATTTCCACCTGATGAGGATCCTAGTACATGGACTCTCTCGAATCTTGCTTTTCTCCCCACTTCGCATTATATTTTTAGACATCGTTCCATGTGCCCCTCTTTTCAGCAGCTGCAGTTTTCCTTTGGATGGCAATCCGCCGTTTAGTTAAACAGCCTTCTCTCGGTGAACGTTCGTATCCAGTTTTCACTGTTGGAGCACTGCACTTGTCCTTCTACCTGCACCCCTAGTGCAGTTTCTGTGGAACCAGCTCTAAGAAGTAGAAGGTGCTGGCTCAAGAATGACTGACGTTTCAAATGTCAGTGGCCCTCTCTGCGAGATCAGTTACCCCAGCAGCGCCTGAGAGGGCCTGAGCCTCCACACCCTGGCTAAAACTGGGTCCTACACGTGTTTTCAGTTTGGCTAATCTGTAGGCAAAACAATATCCTTAATAGTTTAATTTGTATCTCTTAATTATTAGTGATGCTGAAAATCATTTCTAATGTTTCATTTCCTAATGCAGGGACATTGTTGGCAACAGTGTAGCTGTCAGGCCACAGGGTGTCTCTCCTGGTGTGTTACCAGGGGCTGAATCGGGAGTAGGGTCTTTATTTTACAGATACCTGGTTTCCAACACCATTATAACAGCATCTTTAAAAACGGCTGCAGAAATAGAGACTCTGTCCCTTCAGTGTCTCAGTTTCTCATTTCAATTTCCACTGTCAGCTAAGTCCTTCAAACCTGCCTAGCACCAGGCAGTTTTTGAGGACTTTGGTTACCTGGCAGCCGATTTTCCCACACCTGTAGTTTGTTCCATAATTTTCTCTCATTTAATCTGCACTTCTCTTCCTAGAGAATTCTGATAACCATTCAAGAGCATTACGGACCTAAGAAGTTTGGCTTTTAGTCCTTTGTGGCAAAGAGAATTGGGACGGGGGGTGGGGCGGTGGAACAAGAGTCACTCCCAGCACAGCACTAAAAGATACAGGCAGTTGACAATGTCCAACCTTCTGCTCTGAGGACTGGAGCCACTTAGGAGTGGCTGACCCGGCCAGTGTCACCTGGGCCAGCTCCCTCCACCAAATACATTTAAGTGTTCAGCAGAAC